ACACTGCTGACTTTACAAGAAAAAGAGAGTATTACTACTTGTGTTAAAAAGCATGAAGACTTTGTCATTAGACCAATACACTTTGCGGCTAATTTGCTTGATCCAAGATTTGCTGGTAAAGAGTTAAATCCTTCAGAAATGGTTTTAGCTGAGCAGCATATATTCAGAATAGCTGAAAATGAAACACTAGCTGCTGATGTTATATTGGATGAACTAATGAATTTTAAAGCTCATAGTGGAATATTTAGCCAGGATAGTCGCAGCTATATTTGGAAGCTTAGTGTAGAGTGTAATCCAATTGTATGGTGGAAAGCATATGCACCTACAACATTATTGAGCAGAGTGGCATTGTTTTTTTTTTTCTTGTAGCTGCAGCATTGCATCTGCTGACCGTGCAAACAAAGAATTTTCATTGCAAACATCTAAAAAGCGAAATCGCTTAACTGATACAAGAGCATCAAAGCTGTTATTTATTGCTTATAATTTGAAAATACAAAATAGATTGGTTAAATGTAATTCTAAAAAGAAAAAACATTTATGTTTAGAAAAAAAAAGATTGATGATAAAAGCAATGCAATCCATGCTTCTTATCGCTCAATGATAATGATGATGAATATGACAGTGAATATTTAAGTGATGACAGTGTTGATTTTCACATACCTTCAAGAAAGATTAAGCATTAACATTTAACAAGACCTCGTATTTTACGATATTTTATCATATTTTATCGTATTTTATCATATTATGATAGAAAATCTGTCGCATAATTTTAAAAAGATTTAAAAAGTTCATTTAATAAATTCAATTTATTAAACTGCAAGAAAATTTTTTTTCAGTTATTTAAAAATAAAAAAACAAATATCATCCCAAAACTTTACTTGTGTTTTTCCATTCCTATATATTTTTACAGGAAATATACTAAAATTATATAACTTTAAAAAGGATTACAAGTATAATTATTTCCAATTTTGTTTATTATCTAAGAGTAGATTAGTAAATTGAAAATAAAGAAAATTGAAAATTTCCGAAAATTTTGAGCAAAATTTCCCGGAAATTTTCCGGAAAATTTCTGGAAAATTTCAACACTAACTTAAACATTGATAAAAGTTGCACAACCTCCAATAAGCTTGTTGAACAAACAATTTTCATTTAACTTGATGCTAGTTGTTGAAAAAAGATCTCATTTAAAATTTATTTTATTTGTTGTGAGACCAATTTTTTATACATTAGTTACATGTTGTCATCATATATAAATGTCTTATATAAAAATCACGGTGGTTTTTTTATTTGTGTTCCTTAGATTTTTCTTATATAAAGAACACATTAAGAGTAATTTTTATAAAAAATTTTTATCGGCAATACCCCAAAGTATAATTTTTTTGTAAAAGCAAAAAATTGCTTTTACAAAAAAATTGCTTGTTTTATATTGTCTTTAACTAAAATAGGGGGGAAATGTTTTTATTTAGAGAGTGCTGCTTCTTACTATCCGTACTATGTCAATAGAATAAATTTTAACATTGAGTCAGATGGATGGGCCTTATTTGATATGAAGACTGAGTACTTGAACATTATTGGGGAGTTTAAAACATGGAAAATAAGTAATATAAATGCAAAGCATGAGGTACTATTTATGTATTATGTAATATTTTATTAACTTGTTTACTATAGATTTTTTTTTCATCTTACTTTTAGAAACAGATTTTTTTAAAAGGCGTAACAGACTGTTTTAAAAAGATTAAAAAAGAAAAAACAAAAAACAGAATAATCAAATAATAAATAAATACAGAATAATAAAATAAAAAATAAGACTTTTCATATCACACTCTAATACTTTTCAACAAAGAAAATTATTGCAGTGGTTTTATGTGTTGTAACATATCAATTTTAAATCTTGCACAACTAAGCTGCACTATGTTTGTGCTGGTCAGTTGAATTGAAATCTTATGCTGGTCAATTCTATTTTAAGAAATAACAAAGCCAATCGAATCATTAGTTGTTTTTTTTTCACTGTATTTATCTCCCCATAACTAAAGTCACTAGAATGAGCAGGCAGGCTATTTTAGTTTTTTTTTTTAATTATTTTTGTTGCAACTCTCTCTTAACTCTTTAATACAGTAACAAAATTACAGAAAATAAGTTAAGTGCGGTACTACCTAGGACATGGTGGGAATCAAACTCTGAATTTCTCACTCACAAAACATGTGCTCTACCACTGCGTCGCTTTTGTATTTGTTAAAATATATATAGTAAAGAATTATAAATAGTTTTAATGTTGATAAATCAAAAATACAAATAACTTAAGAAATTGAAATCTTTTATATTTTATCAAAGTTAGTTTAAAGCATAATTTTGCAATAGAGAAAAAAATGTTTTACAAAGTTGTTGAATAAATTAATAGAATAACCATATATAGAGTAAAACAGGGTAAAATGAATTAGAGGGTATAATAAAATAGACAAGGTTTATTATTTTCTTTCTAATTATTGAATTTTTTGCAAATTTTTTTTTGGTTATGTTGTAGAATCTTTTAAATGCTTTTTGTGAATAAAATGATAAAAAATTAAAATATTTTTTTGTTGTTGTTGAAAAATGAGCATAAATATGTCTTGACAAAGCTTCCTAACAAACAAACAAAAAAAAACATACACCAAAGAGCATTGCAGTGGTCAAAGTACAAAGTTTTCACTCAATAAAGCTGTTTAATCATTCAGCATAACAGTAGCAACTCTTTACAGGTGTGTCCATGGCACAAGTGAAAGTGTTATAGCAACTTGAATCAAGTCTGGTTCAAAGTCAAAATTACAAATAGTTAATATGTTTAATACACTATCACCTCAACCTAAGTCTTTTTCATCACCAGAATCTATGCCAGTACTACGGGTACTAATTTTGGACAAAGCTTTGTCAAATTATTAAATGGTATCAGTGTGAAAATTCAAAATGCCAGATTTGATTTTATCAAACATACCTACTAAATTAATATGTAAAAGACACCAAGTTTTATTGCATCAAAAAGTACCTCTCAAGTGACTCAACCTCCAGAACTTTTCAACAACTCAACATCATCACAAGAATAAAATATTTTTTTAATAATTGTTGTTTTTTAACTGTTACAATTGGTTGCTTTTTTTAGCTAAGTAATATTTTAGTTAAGCATTGACTTGTATATTTCATTATCCCCAAATGCAGAATGTAAAACTATTCAATTCTTTCCAAAGGAAAGAATTGAATAGTTATAGAATGAAATAGTTTTATTTCAGTTAAATGAATTTTACTAAATAATTATAAACAATATTTAACTTGTATATATTTAAATACAACTATCTGCAAAATACAATTCCGTATAAGTTATTAAAAAAGAAATATTTACTGTAAAAAAAAATTAAAAAGCTATTCTTTTTGATATCATATTACTTATTTAAATTTATTTTCTGATTAATTTATTTTTTTAAATGTTTTCTTTCCTATAGATATGTTTGTCTTATCCTGGCCTAGTAATTGTGCCTTCAAATGCTACCAATGAGATGATTAAAAAGTCAGCAAAGTTTCGTCATGGCGGTCGTTTTCCAGTCCTTTGTTATTTGCATTCAAATGGAGTAAGTTACCAATTACCAGCAACAATTATATATATTTTGCTTAAGAGATTTTTTTTATACAAAAATATTTTTTACTTTTTTTTTTGAATTTTTTATTTTTACTTTATTTGCTTTTTTTATTTAAATTTTATTTAATTTATTACGTTTTTAAAAATTATTGTATTAAGTTTTTACATTTTTTACTTTTTTATATAAATTTTTATTCTAAAATTTGACTTTGTGTTATTGAGATTGTTCTATCATTGCTATTTATTGTTAATTATTTTAAAATCAATAATTTTAAATTATCATAAAAAATGCCAAAAATAAAAAAATTTAAAAACCATTTATAGTTAAAATAAATATTTATTTTCTAAAATAACCATTTTCAGGTTCCATTAATGCGTTCTTCACAACCTCTGAATGGTCCAAGTAATAAGCGATGTAAAGAGGATGAAAAACTTCTTTCATTTCCAATTTCAGCACATATCAAGAAAGGTCATATCATTGATACCAGGTCTCAACAGGCTGCTTCCAGTCATCGAAGTAAAGGTTAGTTTAAAATAATTGTATTTAAAATGTTTTTATGATTTAAAAAAAAATGTTCGAGTACTTTTATTTAATAAACTATCAAATAAATTGTAGGAGGTGGTTTTGAAGAAAGTGACCATTATTCACAATGGAAACAAACTTACCACAACATAGAGCCATATACTTATTTGAGTGAAAGCTTATCAAAGCTTTATGATGCATGCATAGATAAAAAAAATAGTGCATGGCTCAGTAAGTTGGAAGCAAGTGGTTGGTTAAGTTATGTACAGTCAGTTTTGATAGCTGCCTCAAATACAGCAAGACACTTACATTATGAAGGTATTCTAGTGAATGTATATTTATTTTAAAGTTTTAAATTGATTTTTTTTTTCCATATTCTTAAGAAGCAATAAAACCTCTAATGTTTATGCAATTTTAATGCTTTTATTGCACAACATAAAAGAGTGCCATAAAAATTAGTCTAGCTAATTTATTTTATATCTAATAATTTTTATTTGTTTATATATTTTTATTTTATTTGTAAGTCAGAACTTGTTTAGAATATGTCTATAATTCCTCTTGCGCTTTTGTATCAAAGTTGAAATATTTTGTGGAAAAATTTTTTTGTACCTTTATGTTGCAAAGTTCAAATAAAAAAGATTGATTAAAATAAAATTAATAAAAGTAAATTTTAAAAACATAATAATGAAATAAAGTAATTATTAAAAAATTGCATTTAAAAAACTTTAATGTGAAAAATAAATGAGATTTAAAAAGTTATTTTTTAAGCTTTTTTTTTTTTTTTACTTAGATCATTAAAGCATAGTCACAAGAATAGATAGTCTGGAATAAAAAATTAATTTATAATGATTTTGAACAGTTTCTTAAAAAAATTAAAGTAGCAGCATTTACTACATGGACTGTTGAAACTTCACAAAACTATGTGTTATTTAAAGTTATTGATGGGAAACATTTCATACCAGAAATTGAGCTACATGTGGATGAGAGTCTAGCTTATACTATTCGAGCTTATGGTTGGCTTTTACCAGACACCCATCAAATTTATAAGAGTAATTTACGATCTGTGCGATACACCATGATATCACAATTTCTCAATCACATTCGTGATTTCTATCTGTGCAATGGAATATCATCCAATGAAATAGAAAATTTTTTGCTTGTAAAGAGACATGTCGTTAGCAAACTATTTTCAATCGAAGATGAAAAATGTGATGATGGTCCTACAAATGAAACAGTGTATTTCAGATCTTCTACATGCAGTATTCTACAAATTGAGTCAAGTATTTGTAAAGAATGTAAAATATTAACTATAAATAGTAGCAAAGCCATTAATGCAAAAAAGAAAATTTTAAAAACTCCAGCTAGTATTAAAGCTCCTGTTAAATATACTGCGCCTGAAAGATTACTTCTTACTCTCCAAAATCAAAGATCTGAAAATAGATATTTAAAAAAGCAAATTTTGGAACTCAGGCAAGCCATTGAAAAAAATGCAGTATCAGTTGGAGAAAACATCCATCAAGATCTTCAAAAAATTATCAATAGTTTCTCAGAAAAGGTAAATTTAAATAGAGGAGTTTCGTCTTTCATGAAATTATTCCTTTCAGAACAGTTAAAATATTTAACAGAACATCCATCTCAAACACGATACCATCCAATGGTAATAAAATACTCTTTAGCTTTGTATGCAAAATCTCCAGCTGCATATGATCTTCTGCGTTTACAAAAAGGTGGAAAAGGTATACTTGTTTTGCCTTCTCAACGCACTTTAAGAGACTATAGAAACTACATCAAACCACAAAGGGGTTTTAATAGTCAATATGTTCAGGAGCTTGCTAAATTAGTTTCAAACTTTTCAGCACTTGAACAATACATTATACTTTCTTTTGATGAAATGAAAATTCAAAATGACCTTGTGTGGGATAAGCACACAGGTGATTTAATTGGTTTTGTTGATCTTGGTGATGATGATCTTACTCAGGCAACTTTTGAAAAAACTGATACTTTAGCTTCACATATTTTAGTTTTTTTTATTAGAAGTGCAATGAATCCCTTATCTTATGCTTTTGCAAGTTTTGCTACTGATAGTATTATGTCATTCCAGATTTTTCCAATATTTTGGCGTGCTGTTGCAATATTAGAAAGAACATGTAAATTAAAAGTTATAGCTGTGACTTGCGATGGAGCTTCACCAAATCATGCATTTTATAAAATGCATATGAACAATGACAACAAAGCAAATGGTATAACATATCGCACAAAAAATATTTATGCAGATGATGAACGATATATATGGTTTTTTTCTGATCCTCCTCATCTTATCAAAACATCAAGAAACTGTTTGAGCAACTCTGGATCTAACCGTTGTTCAAGATATATGTGGAATAATGGAAAATATCTTCTCTGGAGTCATATTGCTAAGTTTTACTATGAAGATATGGAATGTAATTTAAATTATTTTCCTAAACTTACTCGAGACCATATAGTATTAAATGCATACTCTATTATGAACGTAAAATTAGCAGTTCAAATTTTAAGTGCTACAGTTGGCAATACATTGCTTGAATTTGGGCCAGATGAAGCTTCTGAGACAGCAAATTTCTGTCTGTTAATGGATAAATTTTTTGATTGCTGCAATGTCACAAACACTAAAGAGTACCTCAAAAATCGTAAAGTATTTTTGAAACCTTATACCGATTGTTCAGATGAAAGGTTTTACTGGTTAAAAAACACTTTTCTAAAATATTTTGTAGACTGGAGGGAAAGCATAGAAAAAAGGCCAGAAAAATTTTCTAAAAAAGAACTTAATAAAATGTTCATATCAAATCAGACATTTGAAGGTCTATCTAGAACGGTAAACTCCTTAGTTGAATGCGTTCAATACTTACTAAGCAAAGGATTTTTATACGTATTAACTGAAATATTTTGTCAAGACGCATTGGAGAACTACTTTGGTAAGCAGAGAACTATAGGTTGCAGTAGGGATAATCCTAACCTTAAAGACACTGGATACAATGATAATATCATAAAATCTCAATTTACAATTCAACCCCTTGGTGGAAATGTTAGGCAGCATACTAATGAATGGGTAATTGATGATACACCGGTTCCCAAGAAACTTAGAAAAAATAAATTAACTTAATTGAATTATGATCTTTTTTTTTGGAAAACCTTATTTCATAAAACATTTTTTTAATTAGTTTATCAGTAGATATTATTTGTCTTCCCCAAAATTACTGTTAGTTTATTTAAAAATCAAATTTAACCTAAACCTATTATAATTTAACTCTGATTGCTGATAAAAGCCTATACTTTTAAAATTTTAAAGAATATCATACATTATTTTGTAAAGAGAAAAAACACAACATTTGATTAAAATAAATAGGTTGGTTAAAATAATAAATTAATAAAAGTATTTGTTCTAACCAATAATGTAATTATTTTAATTTGTAGCTATGAAAATAGCTGTTTGATAAGTATTATAAACTGGAACTATAATACTCTTATAAATATGGTTTTTCTATACATCTGCATAGATTGATAAAATACGGATGAGAGGAAATATGATTGTAAATCTCAGCTATCGCAAATATTTTTCTTGATCTTATTTGATTTTTTTTAATGATGATCGTAAAGATTCTGCTTTTGTTATTTTTTTTTTGTTTTTGAATTTTTCTTTTATTTGCTTTGTGTGTGAATGTGAACAAACACGAATAAAAAGTATCACTATATGATATAATAAAGTTTTAGCAACTTCTTTGTCTATTTCTGTTTCAGGAAGGTCACATATTTGATAAAAGCAGGACTTGACAAAACAGTTATTTAATAATTGTGAAACCAATACTTTACTGTCAATTTTTCTAAAATTTACGCTAGTATGTATTCTAAATTTTTTTTCACATTCACTAAAAATATTTATTACTAGTGTATTCATTTTCCACAATCCACCTCTATCTCTACTATCTACAAGTTTTTGTTCCTCTTGAGTTTTTGATGAAAGTATAATATCAAGCCATTGTCCAGACATTGCACCATCGTTAATTTTTTTATTTCTCAACTTAGAGTACAGTTTTTGAAATACATAACCTGCAATATATTCTAAGCATCTTATGTCTTTTTCAGAGAGATTTATTTCTAGATTCGAATCTTCACCAATAAGTTTAGATTCTTTTGTAATCAAAAAATTTAGACATAATGTTGTTAATTCTGCTAACAATAAATAATATAGTTCCTTTGGTATTGTTTTTATCGCAACTGACTCAGTTGTATACTTATGGTGGAGTGAACAATAAAATTTTTCGGCATTGCCTTTAATTCATGCATTTCTTTTAAAAAAAAAGATTCAACTTGTAAATACTCAGATTCAGTGACAACCATGTTTTTAAAACATTCTCGATCTTCATAACAAAAACAATCATCTGTTGACAGTTTATGTCTTGCGTTATTCAATAGATCTTTGAATTGTGTACTTTGAATACATAATTGTATATTTTTATTTAAATCAACTGATTCACTACCGACAACCTCGACAAGGTTGTCAGTAGGCACAAGTTCTTTGTGCTTAGAGTTTATATGCCTTTTCAGACCACTAGTTGTTTTGAATACCTTCGAGCAATCACTACAATTTAAAGTCTCTTTACATTCTTCTAAAGCTGCTATTTCGATTTCTTGATAAAATGAATCGCTTTCAAACTGATCTGTTTCTATCAAACTCAAAAGAACTTGCAACTCTCCACTTTCCATGATTCACTTTAATGTTTGTTTTGCACTTTCAGCGGGCCGAAAGTACAATTTTGACATAAAAGTTCAAAATCAATTGTTACGGCCCGTGTTTCCAGACTATCTATTCTTGTGACTATGATTAAAGTAATACTCACAATTAAATTATTTAAACTTTTTTTTTTTAATATTTTTTATCAATTCAAGATAATTATTATTATTTTTTTTTATTTATACTATAAATTTTTTAATAATTTGTAATTAAAATCATTAAATTTTATAGAAATATTTAATGATTTTAATTACAAATTATTAAAAGTTTTGTATTTCAAAAACTTGTAAAAGCAATGAACAAATTTGATAATAAGAAAGATTGTAAAACAATCTTTCTTATCTTACTGGCTCCAGCCATTTCTGAGTTTTGAGTATACAGGAGGGGGGGCTGGAGCCAGATTTGATAAGACGGTTTGAAGTTAACTAACATAAAAAGGGCTAGAGCCCTAGTAAGTTACTAGTGTCTTTATCAGCATTTAGGGATGCATATCATGTGTTAGTTATTATAAAATCTTCAAAGAAAAATTAAATCAATATATTCTGACATTTTATATATTCTTTATAAAATTTCTGTATAGGTTTATAATTTTTTATTTGTTTATTTACATAGTTACAGGAAATGCTCTTTTTCTTAGCACTTTCAACCCTAATCAGCTGATGTATATACATTTTGCTGTATGAGTACCCCTAACAGCCAGTCAATGTATTTACTTTTTGGAATAACAAGATTATATATACTTTATAAGTAGCAAATCATGGATAACATTTTATGAGTTTTTAGCATTTGTGACATAACTGGAAAAAGAATGCAAAAAAAAATGCAAATATCTTTCATTTTGAATGAAAGATACTTACATTTAGACATCCATTCAGTTTCTAATTTTTTAACTGTACTAAAGTGCATAAATCATTTTCATATATCCATATTTCAAGCTCTTATTGGCATGTTGACTTTTTTCTTGTCTAAGTTTAAATTTATCTTTTTTAAAGTGGGTATTGTTTTCTCTATTTCATAAAAACTCTCTCAACATACCTGCAGCATACTAATATAAATTTAGATCAGACAGAGGCATAGTGTTTAAAAGTAAAGAAACTTGATTGCCTTTTTTTTTCTTGATTGATTGTTAAATGATTATTTTTCCTTAAGTGTAAACAAAATGGTTTAAAACTGTAAAAATGTCTCTAATTTAAATAAAATTTTATGAAACTTTTATGAATTCTTTTTTATGAAACTTTTATGAATACTTCTGTTTTATGAAACTCTAAGCTGCAATGATTTTAAATAATTTTTGAGCTTGGAATTTTGGTCTTAACATTTCAGATTTCTTTCTAAATTTGTTTGAAGTTATCTCTGAAAATTTCAAGAAAATCTATGAACTGAAAATTTTTTTGCTTTATTTTTTAAATAAATTTCAAATCTACTTTTTATGACTACTCAAAACTGCTGATGCTATGAAACTGCTGTTGCTATGAAACTGCTGTTGCTATGAAACTGCTATTGTATGAAACTGCTGTTGTATGAAACCCTGTAATAATTTTAAATAATTTTCAGCTCGGAATTATGGCCTTAAACTTTTAAGTTTCTTTCTAAATTAATATGATATAAATATTTTTAAAATTTTAATATCTCTAAAAATTTCAAAAAAATGTAAGAACTCAAAAAATTTCTGCTTCATTTAAAAAAAAAAAAGGTCGTAAATTTATTATTTCTGTTACTTTTTCAGCTTCTCCTACATTGGTTCATGGAGAAAAAGGTACAGATTGTACATTGTTAGTAACATCATTAGCACAAATATTGCTTGATTATCGATGTCGGACTGTTATTGGGTGAGATATTATTAATGATTGTGATGTTTAAAGTCTTTTCTCTTTCCAAATATTTGTCTACATTTATTTAGCTTTATCCTTTTTAATTATAATAAATTATACTTTTTTTTACTTTATAGCCTTCAATCTCTTATAACTCGAGAATGGATTTGGGCAGGCTATCCATTTACTGAACGTCACTTAAAAATAGGTGTTTCCTCATTCAAGAGGAAAGAACAAGCTCCTGTTTTTCTAATGTTTCTTGACTGTTTACATCAGGTAAGCAGTTTCATTTTAATATTGTCTCTACAAAAACTTATTTATTTGCATATTTCATCATGGTTGTATGTATGTTGCATGTTTTATATTTTATTTGCAGTTATATATCACTATCATTTATAGTTATTTCATCATGGTTGTTTAATCATATGTTAGACAAAACATATGATACACAGTAGATAGTTGACAAAAAAGGAATAATTATTTTTTAATGTTTTTTTTTTTTAATTTTAGAATCTATTAGAATGTACATAGATCTAGTGACAATAATAAACAAAAAAAGTTTTTTTAAATGTCTTTAAATCTTTTTTTTCTATAAATGTCTATAAATATTTTTTTTGGTAATTAAAAATAAAGTTATTTTTAATAAAAAAATATATTCTGATTCTTTAAACTCTAATGATTTTTTTTAAGTTAAAAGTTAATAAGTTTCTAATAACTAATCTAGTTTTAATAAGCCTTACAAAGTGTAATTAATAAATTATATTACATATATTAATAATAATATATTATTAGAATGTTAGTTTAATGAAAGATTTTTGCTTTAAGTTAATTTATTTCATTAAACTTTGTAATTACTGATAACTTATACTGATAACCACTTCTGATAACTTATTAAATTTGATTTTCCCTAAAATTGGGTTTTAGACTGTTAACAATATCTCTTTATGATTACAATAAAATTAATAGGCGTTAGAAACAAATATATATTTTTATTTATAACATTTATTAATATTATTATAGTAAAAAAGTTTGTATTTTTAATTTTTTCAACTTTGTGTTCAAGTCAACTTTTATCTGATGCCTCAGAGAAAGTTCATGCCTCAGATCAAATCGGTACTAATAGTATTGACATTAGTATATAAGTAATACCACACTATGCTAGGCCCTCAAAATATCGACTTACTATAATTGACTAGTGTTTTGATTTTACATCAAATATTGTTTATGTATTTTTTTTTTGCTTATCGCATGTACCCTTATTTTGATAAACAGTCTAAAAGGTGTTGATAAACAGTCTAAAAAATGTTTATAAGCAGTCCAAAAAAAGTGTTGATAAGCAGTCCAAAAATAACATGACAATACTTAGAATATGTACTCTAAAATTAGTTTTGATTTATTAAAATATGTTTAATAATTTAATTTTAGCTTTATTATACTAAAAGCTTTTCAGATAAATATTTTATTTCTGATAAATTTTTAATTTTAACCAATATTACTAGTTAAGTATTAGATAACTGACAAGACGATGTAACCTAGCGGTTAGATCAAAATTTTTAATGTTTTGAATATGTTTTCCCAACTATAGATTTACAAGAAGATCTAAATGAGAAAAATTTTGTTTTAATGCTTTTTTAAAACTTATATCCAAGTTACAGAAGATAAACAGATGCATATTTTTTATCTTTGGTTTATCTGGTAAAGCAAACTTTATTTTTATTTCTAACTGTTTAATGACAGGATTTGCTTTTTGTGGTGACTTTAGTGAAACCAATTAAGCAGAGTTCACAGCAAGAGCTTCTGACGAACTTAAATGATAGGTTTCTTCCATTTGACTAGAAGAAGAACAAGGAATGTAAATAATAAATTGAGCTTTTTAAATATCTCTGTGTTTCTACTGTCTTAATTTAGCAAGCTCTTTTTTTTTTTAATTCTTGCTCTGGAGTTGATTGTTTCAAAAAATATTACTTTGTTCTTTTTCTATTACTTTTAATTTAGTTTTCTTTCCTTTTTTTTTTTCCTTCTACTTGTTTGTACGATTTGGGCATTGGTTTTATAATTATATGCTGCCTCTATTATTATGTAGAATATGTCTATTATTATGTATAATATGTCTATTATTATGTAGAATTTGTCTATTATTATGTAGAATGTCTATTATTATGTAGAATATGGCTATTATTGTGTAGAATATGTTTATTATTATGTAGAATATGTCTAGCAAATGATATTTTAAATTAGATTTAAAATATCATTTAAATTTAATTAAAAACCAATGACTTTGAAATACACATGACTTATATCAATTATTTAAATTACTCTTTATAACACGTGTTTGAATTACACAGTTATTTAAATTACTCTTAACACATGTTTTAATTAATTTTTTTTTAAATTGAGACTGCTTTGTTAAATTTAAATATTAAAATGACCCATTTCAACATCGAAACAATCGTTACGTCGCGGTCATAACAAAAAAAAATCCCATTTTACTTATTTCAGACAATGATTTTATAGAAAAAATTTGGCAGTTGATATTCATTTTAACTAAATGCTTTTGCTAAAAATTTTCTAATTAATAAAGATACAATTTAGGTTGTAAAAAAAACTACATTTGTTATTATTGTCACGGTTGTGACGGTGAAAAATGCCTTTTTTATTTTTAATAACATAACAAAAAAAAAATTAGATGATAATTGTATCACTCATTAACAAACTTATTTAATCACTAATGTTTAGTCTCAGAATTAATAATTAAAAAAAAAATGTTAAGAAATTAAAAGTTTTTTATATCATAAAATATTGAAAGTTGCTATAAATATATTAACAAAGTGAAAATATTTTTTTTAGATGTACTAATATGCCTGTTAATTTAACTTTTAAAAATCCACTTCTAATATTCAGTTTAAATACTTTTGAAAAATTACTATCTTATATGGAATGACCCTTATGTTATTTTTATTATGAATTAAATTGTTGTTTACTTTATTTCTATTATGAGATTTGTTCATATCTTTATATATAAATCTAAAAAGTTTTTTCCATTCATATTGGAATACAGCTTTAATTGTTTATAAACATATATCGTAGTTAAAAAAATATTTTTAGATAATGAATCAGTATGCTTCATCATTTGAATATACTGAAGACATGCTGTTGTTACTTGCTGAACATGTGTATGCTTCTCAGTATGGTAAATTCATCCTCTATATTACTACAAACAATCAATTTTTAATGACGCATATACATTATATACATTAATCAGAAACTTTTTACCTTTTCAATGCCTCTCTTGCATGTTGCCTCTCTAAATTTGCTAAATTTTTTATTAATATTATGAAGCAATTCTCTTAACCTGTTTGGTTAAAGAATCAAATTTTCAATGTATTGATTAAAAACAATAAATGTTAAAATGAAAAAATAAATAACAGGAGACCTAAAACATGTGAAGCTCTAAAATTTTGCCTACACCTTTTTTACATATTTTTTACTAGCTATTATTAACTATGGTAATTTCAATATTAATGTTGTTTTTACTATTACAGTTATAATTTTTTGTTTGTTTGTTTTGTTATTATTGTTATTATTGTTGTTGCTATTATTGTTGTTATATTTTATTTTTTCTTTATTTATTTTTGTTCATCAATATTTTTTTAAATTTTGTTTAGGTACTTTTTTGTTTAATAATCAACTGCAGAGAGAACAGTCAAAAGTAACAGAGCGTACAGTATCACTTTGGTCATATATGAATCGCCAAGAGATGAACGGGATTTTGTATAATCCTATATATGAAGAAAACAAAAGTATTTTATCCCCATCTGTTTCTCCGCAGAGCCTGGTAAGATTATTATAAGCTTCCATTAACATAGTTTTACTAATAATTCAATAAAGGTCTGTTGGTAAGTTATGTTGAAAACAAGAAGTACTGATTTTGATCATCACCACATCTCTAGTAATACAGAGCTCAACTAATTTCACTTAACAACAACCTTGCTTGTCAAAGTTTGTTGCTATCAAACAGAGCTATAGGTTGTTGGGGTTGTAACAATAGTTTAAAAAAGAAGAGTAACCTTCAGTGTAGGTTAGTTTGCACTGCAGTGCAAACCTATTTTTGACTGCGTTTCTTCCTTTGACTTATGGAGCTTTTTACCTCTAATTAAAAGAAAATCATTTTTTTTGTTGATGTTATTTTATGTTAATTACATTACTATTGTTACTATTTTTAAAGTTAATATTTAAAATGTTTTTTTTTTTTGATTAATGTTTAATATGCTTTTTGTTTAGTGGGTGTGGGAAAAGATGTTTAGAAAGACTTCTTATGAATGTAAATCCGTAAAAGAAGCATTAGTTAGTGTTAAAAAAGACAACAGTTTGCTTAAAAAAAGTGCAAAGCAGCTTCAGTTGTATGTTAATTTATTTCATGTTTTTTTTTATTAATTTATAAGCACACATGTATATATATATATATATATATATATATATATATATATATATATATATATATATATATATATATATATATATATATATATATATATATATATATATATATATATATATATATATCAAAAATAATAGTAGTGTAAAAATATTGTAGTTTAAAATACAACCAGCTTGACTAAACATAAAATGACTAATTGGAGTAGAGATATTTTTGTTTTTGGCATTTTTTTTCATTTAAAAAAATGTTCTTTTATATCTTACGCAAAACAGATATAAGCATAGTGTGATAAAAATCAGGTCAATTATATATTTGCAATCTTTGTTATAGTCCTTAATAAAAAAGAACCAGCCACTTGTTGATACACTCGTTAAGGCATGTTTCATGGTTAATACCCATTTGACTTTGTATAACCTTAGTTTTCTTGAGGGTGGTTCAAAAAACAGTATTTTTGAATAATATCTCCTGGTACCCTCTTAATGTGTTCTATATAATAAAATAACACTTGATTTTAAAAAAATTTGAATAAAAAATAATTTAGGAGTTACTACAGATCTTCAAACATAAGGCAGGTTGCTAATATTATATAAAAAACCGTTTTCCGAAGCACGTCATTTAAAGTTTGAAGCGAAATTATCTAAAAAGTTTTAAAAATAATCATCTTTTAATAAAAAAAATATTATTTTAATTTTTATAGTTATTAAAAAATGACATTTTTCATCAAAAAATTAAAAAATCATTTTTACAAGACTTCAAAATAATATATTTTTTTAATTTATGTTTTTTAAAAATTCATTATTAATTTTGAAATTATATATTTCAAAATTAATATCACTTGGATTGATTTCATTTCAACACGATATATTTTATACCTATAACATATACGAGTTTAAAAGTCTATTTTCCTGTGATTTATTTACTTAACAATTATTTTTTTTAAATAAATAAATATTTTATTTACAAATAAAAGGTATTTAACAAATTGATAATAAATTTTAATATTTTAAAGTCACTACAAATGCATTCAAGATCAATATTTATATCCTATACATATATATATTTTTTTCTGCCATAGCCTGCAAACGTTCATTATGTTTTCAGTGGTGAATAATTCTTTCTATTATTACACCTTAACATTTTCTTTAGATATTTTCTTCTTAAGGAGCGCTGAAAAATTTTCTATATGGTTTAGTTTACTGACCAATTGTTCCAATTTTTCAACAAAAGTTTCCTGACCAATCTAGTAATGCGACATTCTGTTCTGATAAATATTTGATTGATTTAAACGTATGATATGTTTTTGTTTTACTTGGACTACCATACAGCCAATTTTGGCAACAATCTTTGTTCCAGGACTTTTTATATTGCAACAGGTTCATCTTTCCCTCAACAATGTAGAGCCTTTCTATTGCTCTTCCACATTTCACTGACAAGATCATCAATAAGGTGGAATAACTAACAATTTGAATGATTCAGTCCGATAAGTACTTTTCCCTTATTTTTCTTTTCACGTATTTAGCCTTCTTTGATAAGACTCGGAAATTACTCTCGTCACTAAAGCATTCCTGAATGTATTATACAAGGACTGCTTAATAAATCTGTTTGAAAATGAAGATTTTTTAATTAATATTATATCTAAGTTAATTTTATCAATTTTCAACCATCTTCAGTTGAATTCCTTTATATTTTTTCCTGCTCTAGTCATTTTTGCATAGTTTTTTGTCAGCAATGTTAAACCGTTCTCTTCGACTTTATGACACCAGTGTGTATGTGTGTGTGTGTGTATGTGTAAAGAGAGAGAGAGAGAGAGACAGAGAGAGATCTAGATAATATAACTAGTGCCGTCATATTATCTACCTTTGTTAATTTACTTTTTTTTTTAAATGACAATTTATGATCATTTTACTTGCATTTTGTTTAAACTTTTGGTAAAAAGGTTTTGGTTTTTCTAGTTATTTTTATATTTATAATACAATAAGTTTACATTTATCTATTTGCTAATTTAAATTAATATATAATGAAAAAAAAACATGATCTGTCCAAACTCTGAGTTTGTTTATATAATTTACTATAAACCGATGTGTGTACTTTTCTGTTTGCATAAAGTGTTCCAACAGGGACAGTTTAAATGCAAAATAAAAAACACTTAGCTTTATACATATTTATTTAATTTGTTAATTTAAATTTTTTTTTTTTTTTTTACTTAAAGGGATTATGAACATCTTAGAGCGCAATTCGCCGCTGGATGATCTTCTCCTATAGCCTGAATTTTTAGTGTTTTAGCGTCTTTTAAAATTAATGTTATTGTTTATTATTGGCTTCCATTTATTATTTCTTATCGAAATATAAATATATACATATGGTCTTTTTTTCTTTTCACAAATATTTATTTTAGATCTGGTCGCATTTTTCTAATGTTTAAGTCTCTATGTTTTGTTTTTGCTAAAATTAAATGGAATTAGTTTTTATTATTTTGTAGTATTTTTATTATAAAAGCTTTTTGTATTTATATGTAAATAAATATAGATTAAATAATTCAGTTGGTATACTTGTAATTAAAGTTTGAAAAACACAAAAGTTTTTTATCCTGGAATAAGTATTTGCCCTCTTTGGAAAAAATTTTACGTAATTTTTTTACATATTTAAGATTACATAGAATATATATCCACTAAAATCTTTTTTTATTAGGAAAATAAATTTTTTTAATTTCCAAAATAAATTAACATGAAATATATTAATCATTTGCTGTGTATAGGTAAATAGCAAAATATTATAAATTGTGATAAATATACAATTCACGCTCAACCTTCGTGTCGCGTACTAGTTACATCGAACCTCTTTCGTTTTACCGTCTGTCAAATTTTTAGTACCAACGTAAGTGACTAATTACATGAGTAAAAATCAGTCCTGATAATTTTATTACATAGCCGTTTTCATCTCAACTGCAATTTTTGTGTCAGCCCAGCCAGGATAAAAATTACTCCATGTTTATTTATGTAACGAATTTACCAGTTGTTTATAATTAGTCTAATTACAGAGCTTATAATGCAAATTAATGGTATTGTGCGTATCTATCCACAAGAAAATCATCTTCCGATGAAAAAAAACACTTTTTGAACAAAGACTTAAGAACAGCATATCAAGGAGTTTATGGAAAAAAGAAAAACTAATTTATGGTAGTAAAATATGATTGGGCCAGATATTTTTAAAACATGTTGAGAAATAAATTTTTGAATGTCGATAGTGTGTTTTCTGCAGATTGAGGTTTTATGGAGGTAGCTGCTAAACTAGACTCTTTTGTTAGTCTTAAATCTAATCGTCCCTATTATCTTGCTTAACCATTTACAAAAAAATAGTAAAAACCATTTATTTTTTTAAAGACAGTGAGACAAAATAGATTCTTTGTTAATCTTAAACCTAGTTGTCTAAATTAACTTATTGAATCACAGACAAAAAATGGTAAAAACTATTTATTATTTGTTTTATAACCTCATTTTTAAATTAATAGTTTTGATTGTGTGTGACTCTTAATTGTATAAAGTAAATTGCACAATGCACATATAAAATAATGTAAGCTTTACAATATTTTAAGTATGCAATTTACTTTATACAATTAGAAATCACACACATTCGAAACTTTAAAGTTGAAGATTTATAAAATGTTTACTATGTAAACATTTTATTCTATTGCAAATATTGTTTTGTAGATAAATTATTATAAATCGATTATAAAAAAAATTGTAACAAAAAAAAAATGATGCCTATAATAAAATCAGATAATTAGAATTCAAAAACATTTGGCTGCAATAAATTCCGTGATTTAGGAGCAACCTTATTGTTCGGGTCGCCACTATTTGGAAAATAATATTAAGGGAGTGCGACATCAGAAAGGTTTAGAATCGCTGCTTTAGATGACACCCAGTATTTCTGGCATTCATCAATTTGCTGTTTTAAAAAACTGTAAAAGTTGTATGCGTTTTGTAACATCGGTAAGAATCTAGGAGTAAACTTCCCTTCAAATGCTTTGTGATTAAACCCTAAAAATTCCTTGGTGCACCTAAAAAGTTTAGCTACTTTTTAACAAAAAACTTTTTCAAAGTGCAAAAACACGTTTTAAATAAAGAACCAAACGTGCTGTGTTCTAACTAAACACCTTACAACAATTCAATATTTTTTTCAAATAAAGCAATGACGTTTGACATCCTACTCGATGTCTAAATGAAAATTACAAATTTTTAAGGCATTATTGAAAATTCATGACATAAAACAACTTATGTAACAGTTGTCAATATTGTATGTAAAAATGAAACAATGATTAAAATTTTTATTTTAAATACAAACACTTCAAATTTGGAATTAAAAACTAAAAAGATTAGAGCAAAATATTCAAGTAACTAAATGTAAGTAAACCTAAATGATAAGTACCATTTGAATAAACGTATAAATTCAAGTGATGATATTTTTTTGTCAAGCTAAACCACTCGAGTCGTTGAACATTATTATTGCTTCATAAGTAAATTTCTAATCTAGGTTTTGTGTAATTTAACCACTATTAATTTTTTATGAGTCCTACGTTACGACTTTAGGTTAATTAGCAGGGCTGAGACAACTGCATAGCTCATTGCTTGAGATGCTCTATCTATGAACGAGTCAAGTTCTCTTTAACTAAAGCATGCCCAAAATAACTAAAATTATTAAACATAAAAACTATCCCCAACACCTAACGGTCTAATATACCTTTATCAAATATTTGCGCCTTTCAAAGTAATTTTCCATGAGTTTTTCACCAGACTTGATTGTTTTTTGTTAGACTAATTGAAATTCGGCTTTTCCTTCTTTAGATCTCAATATTGATGTTTGGCTTAGGCATTTACTTAGGGATCAATTCACCTATATGTAAAAAAATCAACTTTAAATCCTCTGACCATTCTTGTATGCAGTGACGGATCCAGAGGGAAATGGGGGTATACATCCTTTCACCACCACCACCAGAATATGAAAGTCCTAAAATATCTTAGAAACTGAGGACTTTTTTTTTTTTTTTTAAGGAGACGTAAAAATGTGGTATAAATTTTTTATCAGTGTCATTAACAAAGGTAGGTTGAACACTTCATCTGTAATTCATGGGTCTGATCTTATTACCTCTACCAAGAACAAAGGTAAGTTGAACACTTCACTTTCTCTCTTTCTATGTATTCTTTGACAAGTAAATGAGCCTTGTAATTTTATACAAGCTAAAAATTTTTCAAGGACGCTTGATGTAAAGCTTACTGTTCTTTTTTTGTCTAAGTTGTCTCCAGGTCCGTACTATGGGTGGGGTCGGCCGGGTAGCAGCCTCAGGCGCCAAACTAAGCAAAATTTCCTAAAAAATAAATTTAAAAAAATTATATGACTTGAATTCAAAATTTTATGTCGTCTCTTTGACAATGATAAAAAAAATTAACCATAATTGCGCCTCCTTACATAATCTTCAATTTATAAAAGCTCATTTATTGAACAGAAGAGCGCCCTTTAACAATAACATAGTTGATATATTTTATAAGATTGGCTATTGATAATTTTATAAAAATATATCAACTGTGGGCTAGAGCATATTCTAGGGCTATGGACTAGAGCACATTCTCGTCTTTTTTTTTTCTTACTCTAGCCCATGCTGGGCTAGAAAAAGAAAGAAGAGAATGTTTACCATACACGCTAAGTAATTTTGACAACAGAATGGGATACTTAGCACAAATGGGATACTTAGCACAAATTGGTATGAAAAATTTCATTGCAATGGTGATTAAATTCGTTTGCTATTCGTTGCTGTACAGTAATAAAAAAGATTCAATATTTATTATTGTTCTTTATTATTTAAACAACGAAAACTAACAACTTCTCAGAAATTTTAATATATGTCAGCTAAATGTTTTTGATATTCTTTGTTTTATGTACAAATGTAAAACCAACTCCAACCCAGTTTTTTTCCATAATTTATATACCTTAAAAGGTAAAAATAAATACAACTTATTTATTTTTTCTCTTTATTTTGAATTTTCATGCTATATTTTTCTATAGAATGCTCTTATATCCGAAGATATCGTTGGCTTAGCATAGGAACAGCCACAAATAGTTCATTCAGACTAATCCAAAGTAGCGTCCGTTATTGACCAACAATTTTGAGTACCGAAGTACTACTCAAGCGCTGAGTTGACGGTGGCAGGATTTGAACTCGTATCTTACAACAGTCCGGGTTTAAACTTTTTTTCGGCGCTCTAACCAACTGAGCTATCCAGCGACAAGAAATGATAATTTAATTTGCCACCAATTCTTTCATACTAATTTTTGAAAATCAAGCATTTCGTTTCGTGGTCCTTCTCTTTGAAATAAAATAGTTTTAAAACATTTTGATTTTTCTTTGGATTGGAGTTACCTCTCATTCAAAAAAAAAGGAAAATCGTTTTGTCTATTGATGATATATTTTTGTATTTTTAAACATTGAATAATTTACTTTTTTTATTGTTTTTGCAGTGATGCAACTAAATATGTATATAAATGCACTTAAACTTTTCTTGTACTTTATACACTTGATCAAGAATAAGAAAAAGGGGGTTAATCCTCAAAATTTAATAATTAGCTTCTAAAAAAAAAAAAAGCTCCACAAAACAAAAATTTAACCGACTGAATTGTGTCAAATAGCTGACTAGCCGACTAAATTCGTAAAAAAAACCAACGATAACTTGAAAATCGACTATAAAAGAAAACGAAAAAAAAGTTTAAGCGAACTTTTTATAGATAAAATTGCTGAATTAGAAGAGAAATAACTTGAGGTTCGAAGGTTTTGAAGAAAAAGAAAAAGAATCATGGCAGGGGCGGATTCAGACCATCGAGTAAGGGGGATAGAATGATTTTTAAGCGACCTCACAAATCTTTTTATATAATATTCGTTTGAATATTACTTTTTGTCTGTCATACATCTTATACTTATACTTTTATATATATGTATATATATATATATATATATATATATATATATATATATATATATATATATATATATATATATATATATATATATATATATATATATATATATATATATATATATATATATATATTACTCTTTAATCTTTAATTTTAATCTTTAATTCTAAATAAACAACTTTAACAGTGCAACTATCATATATTGGTATCTCAGTAATCCAGTTCAAAATTTGCGCGGCACAACTTAATTAAATCATTTTTAAATAGTACGTCAAAATTTTAAAGCAAAAAGTAATTTAAAGGAATTTCTAAATTCTAATTTCTTTTTATTTAATTACTTACCATGGTTACTATTTTTGAAAATAAAACATTACATCACACTTTCTTTTATTA